TAACGAACTATTGTAGCTGATGCAACAAATGACATTGTCAATACAATGAATTTTAGTTTATTACTGTAATGAACTTAATTTATCAATACAATAAGTCTACTCTCTAAAAATGAATTAGCCAAAAATGACTAATTTAATAGTTATTAGTTTTTAAAATATAGGCAATTCCATATTAAATGGAAAATTGACTATATCTTAAAAACTGTCCTACTTTTTTTAACTTTTGAGGACATTTTCAGATTCAGGGGACAATTTTACATAAGAATTGGCAGTTAAATTTTGGGATACCATGGTATTTCATGGTTAACCATGGTACAAGTGAAAAAGCAGCCACTAATAACTTTTAAATTAGTCATTTTTGACAAACTAATTTTTAGAGACAAGTTGGAAAAAAAAGAAAAAACCTTAACGTGGGTTCGATCACCACACCAACAAATGTTTTTCTGTCATTTCCCGCATGTGCGCTTTGCTGTGAATTTGCCAATGTTAATGATGAATTTCATAGCCTTGCAAATACTAATAATTTTTGAAATGACTTTTGACAATAAAGGAAAAATAAATTATATTTATTGTTTTATTTTTATTTATATTTATTGTTTTATTTTTATTTTTTTTTTAAATAATACAAATATAACTTAACAACATGTTTACCAACCACAGACTTAGTTTATAAAAATTGCAAATTTCTTGTATATTCTTCTTCTCTTGGTGGAACGATAGTACTCCTAAAATATAAAGAGAATATTTTGTGACAATCTTTTTAAAGCGTAAAGAGTAAAGATCACTAAACATACCAATTTTTCAGTCGGAAATCTGTCTAGAATTTCTCTTTGCTAAGGTAATTGAACACCTTTAACTTTAATAAATTGCGCTACCAAGTTTGAGGTTAGCTGTTCATCTTGAAATTTTAAAAATGTATTGTAATATTCCACAAGCATAGAACCTTTAGGAGTTTCATTTAATATATTAAATAAATATGTCACAATCGTCTGATTTTTTATTAGAAATACAATATGGTGCGAAACGCGGTTCTTGGCACGGTGGAGTTGATGCTCTGGAAGCACATTCAGATGGATTCATAATTATTATTAATTTGTGTTTGATTACCCTATGTTTTTGCATTTAAAACATTAATTTCAAGCTCTCTATTTAGAACGTCGCGACGTTCTAAACGACGCGTCGTTTGGATCGTTGTTGAATTGGGTATTAAAATTTTTCAAAAAATTATTGTTTAAATGTTTTCTATTGATATGTTTTTTAAAACTACTTAAGTTTTAAAAACTTTGACCACAATTAGGTATCTTCAAAACATCTAAATACTGAATTTTTAGTAAGATCTTGATTTCGTTTAAAATGCAATATAAGTAATTTTAGGAAATTAATTTTATATGCAAATAAAGCATAACATCGTGTTTTGACTTTAACTATCCGAAATTTAAATTAGTTTTCCTACGCTTTAAGTGTTTTTTAAACCTGTAAAGCCTAATACTAATAAATCAGTTTATTAAAATTATATTTAAAAACTAAATTATAATTACCTTTTTTTAAATAAAGCTAGTCACTAAGAAATACACTGTACTAAGAAATATCTTCTTTCATGCAGTTGATGCCCGCACTATTTTTCAAATGAAGGAAACTAAGCAGAGCTAGTTGTCAAGAATTTTCATGTCCTTATTATTGTTCCAACGTAAACATTCATTAAAACAATTTTACCTACGTTGAGACAATATTAATAATTTTTATTATATTTCAATTGTTTGGTTGTACGTTAATATAATTAATATTAACTGTGTACATTAATTCAATGATTGTTTTATCGTTAGGACAGTACATTTATTCAATGAATGCGTTTGTTAATATAAAGTATGCGTTTCATTAATCGATGCATACTGTACATTAATACCGCGATTTTTATAATTAGAACCAAGTACATTATTTCAATGAATGCATTCGTCAATGTAATGTATACTTTTAATCAAGCATTTTATTTGTTCGTTGCGGAAATTAATCGCAAAACATTAACACAATGGACAAATTATCATTTAATACTTTATTACATTATCATAACGAAACAATTTAGTAAAAGTTGTTCATACAAATTAATCAACAAATTCATGTATTTAATGAAATTGTTTACTGGACTGATAAAAAATTTGTTCTCAAAATAAATATTATACATTGACTAATGTAAAATTAATTACTATTACAAAAACTACTAGTTCATCATGATGATGAACCACGTGATTAGTTAATGAAATACCGTACATAACATTTCTTTACATTAATGAAAAAATCGTTGTTCCAATAAAATATCAGTCAATAAACAGTATTAATTGATATTATGGACTAAATTTTTTTCAGTGAAAGACTAAAAATAATTTATAATAACCTTTATCCTACCAAAAAGTACGCCACTGATCGACTAGGAACTTTAGGGTAATCTGGTTGCCTAATTTAATTTATTATGTTATGGTTGGTTACCCTGGTTGGTAACAACAGCGTTTCCAAATTCTGTCAAAAATGTTGACAAACATTGTTTAAATTTAGCTTAATTACAAAAATTAACAATGCAAATTGTCAATTTGGCGTTTTTATTAATTGTTGGTTATGTCATTTTTGTACTGAAGGTAAATTCAAACTAAATCTGCCAACTTTTATGACAGAATCTAGTGCATTTCTTTCAAATTTTAGGTTATGTGCTCAAATTGTAAATATTTTAACTAAGGGTAGTGCTTTTGGATTTATTTACACAAATTAAATGTTTAAAGTTTAACCTGTGAACTGGTCCCAATTTCACCTTAGTAAACAGAAAGAAAAAACCAAGGAAAAAATTAATTTTGTGGTTATGGATTTTTTAAAATAGGTACTAAATTTATTTTCTAATCATTGCTTAAGCTAATAGCTGGATGAGTAAATAAATACAGAAGGGTATTAGAGCTTTAAGAGCATAAAACGTATTTATTGAGTTTTTATTTATTTTTTGCAAGAAAAATTTTTAGTAACAATTTTTTACATCTGGCAACGCGCAGCTACTTTGTTGGTTGGTATCTATGTACTCACAGAACACAACTGTAAACCAAGTGTGTAACCACAAAAAATATAAAAAACTTCTAATGCCTATTTTTTCTTTATCTTTGGAAAAATTATTTTTTTAAATATTTTTCCTTTACTCCTTATGGCAAAAGGTATTCAGTATTTTAATATATAACATTAATTACATAACACCCTGTAGTTTCGTGCCAGCGAAATTAAAAGGTCAGTACAATGTTCATATAACCTTTTCAAATATTGGCGCTGAGAAACTATTTAATACTTTTTTATTTTGTATTGAGATAGTAAAATAATTTTCACATTTAGTATTATTTTACAAGAAAGGCCCTTTATTTTAACGATTGTATGACATTTGAAAACTGTCAACTAACTTAAAACTAACTTCAGCCCGTGACTAAAAACCTGTTGCTAACTTTAGCCCGTGACTAAAGCGCCATAAAGCCACAACATGTCAATGTGTATTTAAAAGGTCACTTAGTGTCATGGAAACATGTACGATAAAGGGCGTGTTAAAGGTGGGAGAAGAAAAAATATTTTTGGTATCTTAATTAAAACAAAAACTTTTTTTTAGCTTAGCACAGTTTCTTAACTGACTATTTTTTAAAATTATTATAGTGTAAATTAATTAAATAAAGCCACTCATTTACTAAGATTTAATGTAGGTAATGCTAGTGATCAAGTTTAATAAACACCATTTTAAAAACGAATTTAATTTAGACTGCTTAATTAAATGAGGGTCTAGAAAATTTTTATAAACGAGTTGCATACTATACTTTTTCTACCGCAAATACTTATTATCTAAAAATGATTTAAATTAATTATTTGTATAGAGCTACATCTATAAAACAATAGAGTAACTTACTTGAGAATATGTATTACCGGCGCGTCGGTGAAAATGTTATGTTTTTATGTGTAAATAGAAATGTATCCCTTGAAAATGGACCGTTTAATCCGATATAGAAGTAGTTTTTTTACAGTGAAAGAGTAGAAAATGTTTTATGGGCACTCCACGGAAAAGTCTCCACCCAAAACTAAGCTAAATCTAGTTTACTGCCTTTGAAATTAAAAGGTCAGTACAATTTTATATATAATTTTTAAATATTGAAAAACTATTTAGTACTTTTGTATTTTTGTATTGAGATAATAAAATAATGTTTACATTTAATATAATTTTACAAGAATGGCAATTTATTTTAACGATTGTATGACATTTGATTCCCTCAACTTACTTAACAATAATAACTTTAGCCCGTGACTAAAAACCTGTTGCTAACTACAGCCCGTGAATAAAACGCCATAAAGTCACAACTACCATAATGGGCGTTTTAAAGCTAGAAGTATAAAAAATATGTCGATACGAAAAAACGAATATTTAAAAAAAAGAGTATTTAATTTAAATATTAAAAAAAATTTCATTTTATTTCATTTAAAAATATTTAACGGTTTCCAGCTAGATTTTTAATCCAGCCCACTATGAGGAGAAGGAACGCTTATATTATAGCCGAGCTCAGTGTTCGTTGCCGAGACCTTGGCGTTATAGTTATGTATGTCATAAGGCTGAGACGTCAATCTTCTTGTGCAATTATAATAATAATTTTTAAGAGTAGAAACCGAGGTTAGGTAGATCTTACAGTTTTTATATACTAGAAGTTTAAAAACTTTATCCGATTGGTCTAAATTATTTTTACAGCCTATGAAGTTTTTTAAAACTATTGCTGAAAATAAATTATTATAGTATGTAGTATCCATAGACATAAGGTAGTATCAAACAATACATTTTTTACTTTGTATTTCTATCATTGCCATGGAAAAAAGATTAGTTTTGTCAGTTGGTAATTGTTACACTTTTACTAATTTATTGACAAACAGATTTAAAAATGCCTATGTTAAATATTTTCTTGTTGGGATTTTTTTGCAATGTTCAGGCTTATCAATTTGTTCCAGTTTTAATGTGGGGTGCGTCAGAAAACGTCGAATCCCAACCTGTGCTGAAGAAAATGACTAAAGATATTTTTAGTACTTTGTTGAGTGATTATTTGGATAATCAGAATAAGATTGTTATATTTACTGAAAAAAAATTAAATCCAGAAGATTTATCTAAAAAAGATTACAAAGGACAATCAAATTTCCCCGAGCTTTTAAAGCAAAATGGAAAGTATTTTCATTCGGTTGAAAATCCTATTGATGTAATAAAGAAATTCAAGAAAAATTACGCTCACGTCAACGTTAGTTCTGTTCAGGATGAAGTGAATTCGGGTAAATCGGATGCAATATTTGTGGATTTCGACGAAATGGCTGCAAATTTAAGAGATAATGCTTTTGTTAATCATGATCGACTTATTAATAAAATATATGGAAAATTGAAGACTAAATTACCCAATTTGATTGTCATGTATACTGGTTATTCTTCAAGCTTCGCTTCCGGTGATGAACAAAGTAAACCAACATCTTTCTTTCATGACTTGGCCTTAGTATACGTAGCCGGACCAATTCAATTAAACAAAGATTTTCTTAATTTAAATTTTAGCGCAAGTTCGGACAACAACAGCCGAATTTTTGTTGGTGGTGAAGACGCTAATAATAACATTACCATGACCTTCGTTAAATCACATCCTTACTGGATACTAGATTCATTAGTATTAACAAGACCGAACACTTCAGATGTTCCTTTTCTAACCAATAAAATAAGAGTTGGCATAAAAAATTCATATCATTGCGCAAAATCAAAATTTTTTGCAGTTAACGGAAAGTTTAAATTAAGCTTTGCAGGATTTCAAGTACAACCACGATTTCAAAACACTGAAAAAATGGTCTTTGGAAAACCTGAAACTTGTACAGGATATTTTGGTATTGGTATAATAACAGGTTTAATTATTAGCTTTTTATTTATCATAATTATATTTATTGGGGTTTACTTCATGATGGAAATTAAAACTAATGATCGATTTGATCAGAGCATGGTGGTTTATAGTAGAATAGAATTTTAAATTTTTTAGTTTTTACGGTTTAAATGGTGTTAAATTAAAACATGTAAAAATAATAAATACTAAAATTATTTATGTCCAAGTATAAATATTCCTCAATATTATTAAATGATATGCTAATTATATGGCGGGATATTGTAGAAGTTAATTAAAAAAAAGTTAATACATTCTTTTCGAGATACAGTGTTTCTTTTTGTTTTTGTATACATAGAAATATATGACAAATAGTATTGGTAAAATACATGCTTGGTTTTTTACCTAAAAATCTATAAGATTTGATGTATTTAAAAAAGTTTCATTAGTTAACATTTTGATATTTTAGGCCATTTGAAGGGATTTTATATAAAATAACAAATATTAAATTTCCTTCATAATTAAGGAAAATTAATAGAATACTCTGTAATAAGTTTGGAATACGGCATATTTCGCTCGAGCGAATAGTTTGTCACACGAGCCGAAGGCGAGTTTGACGGTTTCACGAGAGCGGAATATGCCATTCCAAATGTGTTTTAAAATATACTTTTTCTAAAATACCAATTTAATTGGGAGAAATGAGATAATAAACACAGAGATGTCGCCAACAGTGTTTATTCCTTCATCCGATGATAAAATAATTCATTTTGTAACACTAAAGTCTTTAAGAAATATATGTAATTCCACAATAAAAAGTGATATTGGAATGGTCATGTTCCGTTATAGGAGTAAAAAAGCAATTGAAAATGCTCTATAAAAATGAATTAGTCAAGAATGACTAATTTAATAGACATTAGTGGCTGCTTTTTCACTTGTACTATTGGATACCATGGTATCCCAAAATTTAACAGCCATCTCATGTAAAATTGTCCCCTGAATCCAAGAATGTCATTAAAAGTTAAAAAAAGTAGAACAGTTTTTGAGATATAGTCAATTTTCCATTTAATATGGAACTGCTTTAGTTTTATCATTTTGAAGGTATTTTCGGATTCACGGGATAATTTTACATAAGAATTGGCTGTTAAATTTTGGGATACCATGGTATTTCATAGTTAACCATGATACAAATGAAAAAGCAGCCAGTAATAACTATTAAATTAGTCATTTTTGACTAATTCATTTTAAGAGAGTGTGGAAAGAATAAAATATTCAAAATAGTACCAAGCCCCAAGCTGCATGGTTAAGGCAACTCTATAGTCCATAATTATTTAGTTAATAAGGAACCAAGCAAAATTAGCGATTTAGGAATATTATTAAAACGTTAAACCTAGAACTAACAAAGTAATAAAGGGACCACAAAAATTAGCACACATTATCTAAGTTTGCCAAAAGTGAGGGTTGTTTTTGGTTGCATAACACTATTCAATTAAAGAGCTTAGTGGATGAACATGTGGTAGTAACATTTTTGTGCCAACTGCATGTTTAAAATATTACACAGTTACACTTAAATGCTGTATTTCTATGTGACTCGTGACTATGTCTAAATGCTAGTATATCTTGAAATCTAATTGATCGATTTGGTCAAACAATCTCTTAAATTGAAGGTATTTGAGCCCTAAAACTTTCTTTTACAAACTATTGATATCGTTAAGTACTTTTAGACTAGCGATTTTAATAACTTAAAAAAATTCGTTTATATTGCAAAAATTGAGCCCTGGAAAAGGTTTAAATCAAACAGATAACTCAAGTTTGATTTTTTTTTCATGAAGCTAACATTTTTACAAAAAAAAACAAGCAAATGCTGATAAAAATACATGGAAAAATTGAAAAATTATGAATTTTTTAGTGGAAGACCAAAATTCAGCTTTTTGACGATTTTTATTTTATTTTTTTTCTTTATTTTGTAATATGTTTATTCTTGCGTGTGCCTTTTCCTTAATTTCATTTTTTTTCTGACAAGCTGGTACTCTTTTCCCTAGACATTTTCTTCGAGCTCTCTGCACAGCTCCCGCCACTTTGTTTTGCTCTTTTTTATATCATTTTTTAGTTATTTTTTTGCAGTTTTTGAATACAACTCAACTATCTATTTAGAAGATTTGTTGATATATATTTAATTTTTAAACAAACTGGATCATTTTATAGCAAAGTTTTTGATATTTTTAATTGAAATTTGGCATTAGAAATGCCCCGTCACAACAGGTTTTCAAAATAAATTAATCAAAAGTCGAAAAAAGCAGATTTTTCAGGATTACATTACATGAAATTTCAGTTTGCTTTGAGTACAAATTTGATTTGAATATTAGAAAATGTCATATAATTGACCTAGAGACCTCATTTTATGTTGACGCTGGATGTTAGTTTTTTAGCGTCAAAAAAGTCAAGTCAAAACTTTTTGACGCTCAAATTGACATGACATACATAAACCGCAAAAGCAAAGATTTTAAAATTTAAATGAATTGTACATTAAGTAATAAACTGTTAGATTAATAAGTAAAATAAAATGAAAATTAATTTAGCAATATAATTTACATTTCCACTAATCTTATAAAATCCTTAAAAAATACATTTTTTTAAGGAAACACTGAAGTTGTACCTTAATAATTAAGGCTTAATTCATAATTTTAGGTTAATGCTTATTTATTTTACGTATAAGTGTTTATTAACTAACAACTTTTAGACCGATTCAACCTCAATTTCTCCCAATTAAGTTATTTTTCTATGGTATTTTTTAGAAACATAGACAAAGTATAGTCTGAAACACATTTGGGATTGCATATTCCGCTCTCGTGAAACAGAAACTCGCCTTCGACTCGCGACTTGTTACAGAATACTATTCCAGTATTTGTGCTTGTAATCTTATTTTTATTAAAAATTCCACCCTTGTAACATGATGGTTGGGAAAAATAAACAGCGGATGAACTTATGCTCTACGGGTTTTCGTTACCAAGTTACAGGGTGTTAAAATATTTTTAGATAAAGTAACGAAATTATAGGTAATATTTTATTTAGTAATGCCTTTTCAATACTTATTTTCATTCTCTGGCTAGATCATGGAATCCTTGTTATGTTCCTATTACTTTTATTTATTTGTCTAGGTTGTGAAAAAAAACAGAAATTTTGGTTTCAAATAAAAGAAGATACAAAAAGTAAACCAAAATTTATAGTGGCACATCATATTTTTCCTTATAAAACCCTACAGTAATCTGCATGACACTTAAAAACCAACAATAATTAAATGTTTTGTAATTCTTAGGTGTACCTACTAACAAACAACAATTATGCAGATTTTGCAAAAATGATTTTAAATATTTTTTGTTTAGTTATTATCTGAAGATTTTTACAATTATCGTTACTTTTCAAAAATCAATAAAAACTCATTGACACATTTGACGTAGTTTGGCCCAGACTGGAGAAACTAATTTAATCGATAAGATTAAGAACAGTACAAGTCCAATTTTTTATTTTGACAAGTCATTTTCTAAAATCTATTTAAAAGTTTAAAATGCATTGTTGTAAGAAGATATAAATTATTTTATATAATATAAACATTTTAAGTATTCACAAAATATGCATTTTGAACTAGAAAACTGATTTTATAAAATAATTTGCAATAATTTTAACTTTTGGACTGTTCCAAATCTCACCGATTCAATTATTTAGATATATTGTTAGTCCTTTTAAATATTCGACCAAATGTATTTTTCCTTATTTTGCTTTTATTTTATTAAATATAAAAAAACACTTTTTTCTACTCCCACCTTTAAAACGCCCTTTATCGTACATGTACATGTTTCCATGACACTAAGTGACCTTTGAAATACACATTGACAAGTTGTGGCTTTACGGCGCTTTAGTCACGGGCTGAAGTTAGCAACAGGTTTTTAGTCACGGGCTGAAGTTAGTTTTAAGTTAGTTAACAGTTGTCAAATGTCATACAATCGTTAAAATAAAGTGCCTTTCTTGTAAAATAATACTAAATGTGAAAATTATTTTATTATCTCAATACAAAAATACAAAAATATTAAATAGTTTCTCAACGCCAATATTTGAAAAGTTTATATGAACATTGTACTGACCTTTTAATTTCGCCGGCAGTAAACTATAACTTAAATTCGGGCACGGACTCTATTGTAAAGTCCTCATAAAACATTTCCTTTACTTTCACTGTGAAAAACTGTTAATTTTCAATATACATTTCGATTTATAACCTTTATAATTGTGTTTATAAAATGTAAAATGTGACATTTGACAGTTTCCCCTGTTGGTTTATAGATGGCGCTCTATACAAACTTTTGATTTAAATCATTTTAAGATAATAATAAGTATTTATCGTAGAAAAAATATAGTATTCACCTCGTTTATAAACTTTTCTATACACTATTTAATTTAAGAACTCGCTCGCAAATTCGCTCGTGCCTAAATTAAATTTGTGTATAAAATGGCGTTTATCAAACTTGATACATAATATACTATTATTTCGCCTATAACGGTAACCTCCTTTGACCATTTAAACCAATATTGTTTTAAAATTTTTATTTTATCAAAAAAGTTGCTTTACTTTTGTCCGTCAATTTTAATGTGTTAATTCTGTAGTTTTTATTTAAAACTGTACAAATTATTCTATAATATAGAATATTTTTTACAGTTTTAATAAAAAATTAATTCAAATTTATATACCATATACCTAGTGGTATTATTATTATTAATTTCATAATATCAAAAATTAATATAAACTTTCTCAAAAATTAACAACCCTACTATTTTGATTGGCAAATGCCTGAGGCAATCTATTTAAAATTGTTTGATACAATTTCAAAATTTTTATATACATTTAAAAAAAACTATTTCTTTAATTTTCAGGTGTATTTTTTTAACCCATTTTTGATGATGCAAATTTTCATTCGGAATTTATTTAATTTACTAGTGTCTGAAAATGAAATTTACAAGTAAATTAAAGCAAGTAAAAAATTGCAGCTGGTAAAAGTCAATTTGGCTAATTCATTTCACTTCATTTACCCAAATTACGTGATATTGTCCATAGTTCAATTAGGTAAGTGGTGTCGGCCTTCTTGATGTTTCCAATGCGTTTT